CCCCAAAACCCCAAAACCCCAAACCCCCAAAACCCCAAAACCCCAAAACCCCTATACAGTAAATTATTATTGTAAGTTTTAATAATCATCAATATCTTCTTCGCCGTCAGAGTCATGTTTCTCTGTGTCCATGCGTTTGTACCCATCAATGTTCTCACAGAACAGCTCGAATATGTCATCAATGGATGCTGCTTTCTTAATCAGCATATGCATTGTTTGACGATTGGGTTTATAGGTGTAGACTGGTGGCTTATCTGACATCAGAGTTGCTGGGTCTATTTTTCCGAGAGGAATGTACCTCTCATCCTCTTGAACAGCATTACTTTCAGGATTCGGATTCATCTTCCCATTCTTCTTAATTTTATTCATGTCTTTCCTACTAAAGAGTTAGAACAAAAAGTTTGGCTGGCTTGGAAAAGGGAATTTGTGTGGGAGGGGTTTATACCTGTTTTGAGGATCTGCTTTAGGTAGATTTTTGGAGGTCGGAGAAGGGCGATTAGCTTCTGAGATTATGAGAGAGTAAAAGTACCTGCTAGTGAAACATCAAGGATTTCAGGATCGATCCCTTTAAATGTGATGTTCCGTATTTTCAATGCCTTCCTCGCTCTGAACTTATTTCAAATCCAGCAAATATTCTATCTCGTCCCCTACTTCGATGCAAGGCGGCTGATTATTTAGACTTCTTGCTCGGCTTTGAAATCTTGTAGTTGAGCTGGTTGAGTCTCCACTTTGCAAATACGACACAATGTCGGCATCTCCGCAGCTCCATGTAGTTGCTGAGTATTTTGTCTTTGATTTCAGGGCTGATCTTGAGCAGTCTGGGCAAGAACTGCTTGACTTTCTTGTTTTTCTTGAATTTGAAGCAATACTTCTGAATGACCTAGAAGGTGAGAATTAGAATTACTTGAATTTCTTTATCCCAGACTTCAGCGACGATTCGTTTTTGGATGGAACGCAAGAACTGTAACGCTTTCCAACGTTTCTGGAATATCTTAATAGATTCTATAGTATCTATCATCTTTTTCTTGAATATTTTATCACAGTAGGCATCTATATAGCAAGAAAGCTTATTAAATCATATTAGAGAAAGATAGGGGTAGAAGACGAGAAAATTTCATATTTTAAAGCCCTCAATAACTCTTTTTTAGTCATGATATTCGAAACAATTTTGATATATAAACAGATGATGGAACAAATGGAAATTTTGATAATTTTTGATTTCAGAGTGTTTGTGAACGTAATGTTTTGTGAAAGGCGTGAAGTGATAAAATTCTTAAATCTGCTTAACTTTATTACAAACTCAAGAAATGGGAGATATTAATGGCAACGTACTTGTAAGCATGCTTTTAAGAATATCTTTAGCTCTTTCTTCTACTGTTTGATTCATTGGGTTTCTTAGCTTATTCAGTTGTTTTGTATCCTAAATTAAATCAAAATTAACAATAATATTCTAGAAAAGGTCTATTGCTTCACCTACTTCTTTAAAAAAAAAGGGTAACTCTATTTTGAGGTGGCTCATATGTAGGGAAAAGCATATTAGCATTTTTCCTTAATGTCATTGCTGCAAATGTGATTCCACACATAATATTTCTCCTGATCCTCTCATCAAGAGTAGGTCCAGACCTGAGTTCTTTCATGCGAATTTTATACATAACAAATTTGATGCGCACTTCAAACTGTCTTTGCTTATCAACCTCATTTCTCTTCTCCAGGTACTTATCTGCTATTTTCACAATGCACTTTTTGTGAAGCTATGTTTAAAAGAGGGATATTACGATGAATTGTTTGACCCAGGCTGATGCAAAGGACATTCTCCTCATTATCTCATTCTTCTCCTTCTCCAGCTCTATAGGTTGTTATCTCTTGGTTTTACTATTTGCCCTCACCTATATGAAATTTTTGAATAACCTGAACCAAGTCAGAGGTCAAAACTCAAGCTTGTAGAAGTTGTACTTACAGAGAATGTATTCCCAACGGTGTAGGTAGAAGATATTCTTCTTGATGTTCTCCTTGACAAGCACATTCTTCTTCATTAATGCATTATTTTATTCTGTTATCCCTTTGTTGTTTACGGATGATCCACTTCTTCCGAGCAATCTTTTTCCAGTCAGTCCCAGAGATGTTATTTAACATAGTCCACAATTTTGTCGTTGGGTGGAGCTTCTCTCTTAGTGTCCTTATTTAGGCGTGAGAATATAGTGCTCAGAGTCCGTGCCAGGGAGTAAATCTGTGGTCTCTTCCTCTTTGTCCTTTTCAATGTTATTTTTAGCATCTAAGTTAAATTCAACTCGCATGGTGATTGAGCATTCATAAATGGATTCTAATGCAAAGTAGATGTATTCATTCTTAAATTTCCTTTCCAACGAGTCGAGTGGGTAGAGATGGAAAGATTTCTTGTTGAAGAATTTATGATTATAATTCTTCTTGCTCGGATGAGTCTCAGTGTATGACACAAATACCTTCATCCTAAAATTATCAATCTCCTCATTCGGGGCATAATCTATGAATATTTTTGCAGGTGGAGTTTCCTTCTTAGCAGACACTTTTACATAAGTAGGCATATTTTCTAACAGTTCTATACTAACCGAGACTCCTTTAAAGGCTTGGATTGATGCATCTCCATCTGAAACTAGGGTTGAGAGCTTATAAGAAGCCCTTCTGAGCTCTTTCTTGGCATCTCTGATAAGATCTTTTCAGTTTGTCTTATTGATTCGGCTTATAAGGCCTTTCTCACTTTGTTTTATTTTTGAATATTGGCTGATTTTCTCAAATACTGCATTATTCTGGTTCAGTGTGAGCAAGGATTGCGAGGAAGATAATCAAGGTCTATCTGTAATCATCTTAACGGATTTAGTTAATTCTCTAGCTTTCGATTCTGGCCTTATCATCCAATTTTGAGATAATACTAAATCTTATTAGTTCTGCAAAAATCTAGTGGATCTAAGTGACTTACGTGAAGTTCCTCCAAGAGTACTTTTAATGTTGTAGGTGCTTCCAGAAGGATTCTTGAAGCTATGAAATTCAAGATTCTTCTTAGTGCTTAGTCTCTTTCTGAAGAATTTCGACCTTGTCTCACTGTTCCTTGTCTGTCTTATGTCTAAAATTATTTGTAACTGGGTGCAAAACTTGTATAAATTTGGATGGAATATCAAATAAGCTCTGAATTTTCGAATCTAAGAGGTATAATATGTCATTTCTAGATATATTATGATAAATTTGAAGAGAAGATTAACAGAACTTAATCTGGTATTTTATCAGGTGAGATTTACTGTTGAAAAGTCGAGATACACTTATTTCCTGCTTTGGAACCACTGATATTACCTGTAAATATAGCCTTTTGATTCAAAGATCTTATGGCAGATTGGCTATGGAGCGATGGTCTTCCTTTGCTATCTATTGATGATCTTTTATTTAATTTTGAACCCTATAAGATTTGATTTATTGATTAAGACTGGATTGGTATTAATAAGAGAAATAGCTAAACTCTGATAAAGACTTACGACTTGTTTTAAATGGGACTCCGGGCTTTGATATAAGCTTCGATCGATCAAATTGAATTGATTCCACACTCAAATTCCTGCGTCTTCTCATCTTTACAATAAATTTATTCAACTATTCTAAATTTTTATGGGGTTTTGGGGTTTTGGGGTTTTGGGGTTTTGGGGTTTTGGGG